ACCAGGGCCTGGAGGGAGACTCATTGCCTCCTTCACTGCAGGGGAGAAACCCCAACTCATCAAACCCCTGCACCCCAACTGGGGTCCGAGTGAACAAGCTGGTCTTTATGAAGGGTCAGAAGCTAAGACCCAGGCCATTCCAACCCCAACTTCACACCTGTTGCACCAGCAGGCAATCTGAGCTTCCTGCAGCAGAGGGATTGACAGGAGCCCGCCTAACAACAGAAGAACAAAACATGTAAGAATCTCATTGTGAAATCTAGACAGGGCCAGGCTGCCTCACCTTTTCCCCATTGAGTGCCTGGGGGTGGATTTAAGGGGACATTTTCAAAAGAAAAAGTCAAGAAAATATATAAAAATTAATAAAAAGTATAACATTGCAACATCTCAGGAATAGGGCTATCATTCAAATGAAAACTCACAAAATTGGTACCCATGTATAAATATGAAGACAGAGAGAACTTACTAAATTACATAGGATTAAAAGTTTAAATATGTCCCTTTCAGACATGTTAGACTTGTCAGACCCAATGTTTTTTCCCAATCTGTGGCTTCCCTTTTTACCCTGTTGGAGAAGTTTTTGGATGTGCATAGGGATTTAAGTCTTAGAATGTCCCATTCATCTATTTTATCCTCTCCTGGTTGTAGATTTTCCAGGATGCTTGGAAGACTGTTTATGTTGTGGATCAGGACTTCTAGAGTTCTTCCAGGCTTTTCTTTAATGAAGTTTATCATCTTTGGTTATAGTCCTAGGTCCATAATCCACTTTGAGTTGGTTTTTGTGTATGTAGTGAGGTGTGGGTCTTGCTTGAGTTTTCTGGAGATAATTTTCCAATTTTGCCAACACCATTTGTTTAAAAAGGCTGTCATTTCCCCACCTAACTGATTTCATCTCCTTGTCAAAATCAGTTGACCATAGGTAGATGGCCTGATTTCTGGGTTCTCAATTCTATTTTATTTATTTATGTTTGTCATTGTACCAGTGCCACACTGCCTTGACCACTACAGCAGTGAAGTAGGATTTGAAATCAAAGAGTGAGATGCCTCCTACCTAGTTTCTCATTTTCAGGAGTGCTTTGCTTATTCAGGGCCTCTTTCCATTCCAAATGAAATTAGAGATTGCCTTTTCCATCTCGTTGAAGAATGGAATTGATATTTGTATTGAGATTGCATTAAACGTGTAAATTGCCTTTGGTAGTATTGTCATTTTCACAATATTGAGTCTGACAAGGAACTTATATCTAGAATTTATAAAATACTCGAGCATCACAACAATATAAAAGTAAATAACCCAATTGAAAAATGGGCACAGGAAATGAACAGACACTTTACCAAAGAAGACATTCAGATGGCAAACAAACATATGAAGAATCAAAACAACTATGAGATATCATCTCACTCCAGTAAGAATAGCAAAATTTGACAGAAGAGCAAACATCAAATGCTGTTGAGGTTGTGGAGAAATCGGAACCCTTATTCACTGTTGGTAGGAGTGTAAAATGGTGCAATCACTATGGAAGGCTGTATGGTGCTTTCTCAAAAAGTTGCAAATAGAAATACCATTTGACACAGCGATTCCATTACTGGAAATTACCCTAAAGAAACCGTAACTGCCACCCAAGCAGATATATGCACACCCATGTTTATTGTGGCTTTGTTTGTAATAGCAAAGAGCTGGAAACAACCCAAGTGCCCATCAACAAACAAATGGATAGAGAAGCTCTGGTATATTTACACAATGGAATACTATGCTGCATTGAAAAACAAGGAACTCGTGAAATATTATGCAAAATGGATGACCCTGGAGGACACTATGCTGAGTGAAATATCTCAGTCACAAAAGTACAAATATTGCACAGGGCCACTATTGTAAATCAGGACTGAAATCAGGGTTGAGGGAAGACAGAAAAGGAGGGGAGCAATGATATATATTGCATTGAAATAGATGAGGGAGAGAACTGTTTAAAAGAGAGATAGGAATGGGTATTCTTGTCTACAGGAGCGGATGAGAGCCTTTGCCAACCACACAGTCCATAAACTCCTTGTATTATCAACTGAGTACCAACCATTTCCCTCCATTATCATACCTACCAACTTTGCTAAATAAAACTAAAAGCCTTTCCCCTCCTATAGATGGTCTCCTCCATCCATCAGGAAGTACTTACAGAAGAGAACCTCAATGGCACCAATCATATAACAAAAGACTGGAATGTTAGGGCTCTGGAGCTGTTCTCCCTTCCTTTCCCAGAATGGCCACCAAAATGATCAAACCACAGGAAGCAGCAGCTGTGGCTCTGTTTCTCTCTGTTAATGATGTGAAACTGTTCCATCTCCATGTCTAAGGAATAGCTATCTGCAACCCCCAGTCTGCTTCCTTATCTTGTAAAAAAACAACTGCAAATATTCTCTTCCCCAATTTCCTTGTAAGACAATATAAAACCCCTCTCTAACTTTAAGTAGAGGCTTATCTCAACTTTGGAGTCAGCCTGGCAGTTTCTCCTCAATAAAATTTCTTTCTCGGCCTGAACTGGGTATGTCCTTCCTTGGTAACCTTACATTTCACCTAGTTGGAAATGAAAGAGAGAGAGATCCTGAAGTTTGCGGAGATCAACAGCCCACAATTTCCAGGCCACAGCCATGAACGTTGTGGGTATGGAGTTTGAGTCCTGTGGTGCAGGTGTGTTGGTTGCCTTTCCACAGGTCCCTTCTTCCTTTGAACAGTATGTTCAGTGGGTTCTTCAAGCCAGGGGCTGAGATTTCAAACCTCTTTTCTTCCCAATTGCAGCCTTTCAGCAAGGGCAAGGAGGAGATGCCCTGTTTTTTCTGGTCAACCCTAACCCTGCTCCACTGAAAGTGTTCACCGCTTTCTCCATCTGCATGCTGATACTAGACATTACAAAGGGAGGTTATTTAATTACCACTGAAGAGATGAGTACTCACACCCTGCCCCACCTAATGTTCACACTGCAAGGATGAAGAGGAAAATTCCGAAATCATTCCATTCCTGGCCCATTCCTGGGTCCAGGACCCTTGATTAGTATTTCTCCTTCTGACCTTGTGTCAACACTGCACCTCTCCCCCTCTTCCCCTCCCCTCCCTCCTTCCGTCTATCCTTCTCTTTCTCTCTCTCTCTCTCTCTCTCTCTCTCTCACACACACACACACACACACACACACACACACACACACTCTGCTGTCTGGCTTTCCCTCATGAGTAAATGGGTTTTTACTGTAGAATTCAGAGAGTAAGTTTGGAGTCAGATGGAATTAAAGTCCATGAAGGAAGGCACAGAGACCTGTTTTTAATCCTCCTTCTCCTCACATGCTTAGACTTTGCAGGGAAAGGTATCTCTAATTATCAGGCCTGGGGTGGGGGCAGGGGCTGCTCCAGCACTAGGTGCTACTGAAGCACAGGCTGCTCAGGCAGAGGTAGAGGGGTCAGCAGAGGTGTGTGAATGGCCCACGTCTCTCCTTTTACTCATCTCAGTGGCCAGCACTGGTCCCAGCCCTCGTCCTCAGCCCTGTCATCTCCCCGAGGGCCTCAGCTTATGGTCATCTGTGGAGTGGGTTTGGACAACCCTGTGTTGAAGGACTGGTGGGTGCGTGTGGCTTAGGGAAAGGGACACAGTGACTGGCACGTACTGGCTCTCTCATGAATGGCAGTTACTTCTAGGACTGTTCTGATTCCAGATGTCCTCCACCACCTTTGCCCCTGGACATGTCTTCCTTTTCCAGGCCTCTCACAGAACAGGAAGTCACCTAAGACACCAAACACTTCCTCATCCAAAAATGCCTCTTCTGACACAGACTCAGGAAGCACTCCCTTCCAGAGTATCATCCCTGACTCTGGGTGAGGGGCCACTCCTTGAATGTGAGTCCTTCCCTCCCTCCCTCCAAACCACTCCATCTCTTCCTCTCCCATGTAAACCACTGGTTGCGTTCAGTAAGGCAATAAATACCACGTGAGCCCAAAGAGCAGCTGTCCATCCAGACCTCTCTCTCACAGGGCAGTCCTCAGGAGGAGCTGTGTCCCCAGGGTCCCAGGATGCTGTGGGGGGGCATTTGTGCTTGGCACCCCCCTCCTGGAGCTCCCCATCTGACACCCTCTTTACCTGGGTCTCTCAGTGAGCGGAGCTTGCTTTCATTCAGTTTGTCCTACTTTTGTGAACAAGGTACACAAATCCAGCCTTTAACAACATGACAGCAGAGAACCACCACAGCACCTCATCGCCGTGGAGATGACTCACAGCTGAGCCTCCAGCGGGTTTTCAGTGGTGGTAAATCACATGGGAGGACGTTACCTTTCTCCTAGAAAGCAGCTGGATGACTCCAACTGCCTGCCTTTGGGATGTCAGCTCAACTCTCTACTGACTAGGCTATCAGAGCTTCTAATTTTGGGGGGGAAAGAAAAGGAATAAAAACTGATCTTACAATATTTCTAGATGTTTGCAACATGAATACTGTGTTTATCTTGGTTTTGGTAAACTATATATTTTTAAAGTTTTTTTCATTGTTGCACATTTTCTTTCCTCTTTTCCCCCTCCCATAACCTACCCCAAAATGCAGCTCTTGTTCCAGATTGCTGTCATACATATGATGTCTAATCATATATTCCTTTCTGATCAATTTTTTTGTAGGTTCACACGTCAGGATGGAGGCCTTGTGCAGTTTCTTGATTCAGGAGCAAATAAGGGTAAATAACAACTTATAAAATTATATTTGTAAGTTCAAACCATTTATTAAAAGGAGCAAGAGTTGCAAAATTACAGGAAAAAGACACAGAAGAGTATCCACATTGGGCCCTCTAGAATCAGAACAAAATCCATGCTGTATGCTCTGCGCCACCCCTCCCTCCCGCCCTCCCTCACCCTCCACTGCTTCAAGGACTGACCACCCTCTTCAATCTCATGGTGAAGTTTGTCCCCAGGCCTAAGGGTTAGGAGGTGGTGGGTGTGGCCTGTGATGGACACAACCGAAGGACCTGCACAGGGCACCGGCTACAGCTCGCCCTCTCTCCTCCTCCATCTTTCTCAGAGCCTGAAAGTAATCAGTTGGGAAGGAACTCAGGTCCGTGCCACTCATCTTGGCCAGATACTCCATCACTTTTAGCTCGCTGGTTTCTGCGTGGGCCTGTGGCCCCCACAGGTACTCGTAGCAGGGAGGCTGACTGTTGGGCACTTGTCTGACCTGCAAGTACCCCTTCTGCACCCAATTGTAAGTGAGGAACCTGTGGGGCTCCCCAAAAATGAAGTGCTCCCTCCCTGCACGCACTTCCATCATGTCTAGTGCCTCCCAGATCTTCTCCTCAGGGGCATGGCCGCCTTCCAGGAAGATGACACACAGGACCGTGATCAGGAGGCCGTTCCTGGGCAAGGTCAGCACATGGCTCTGGGACATCAGGTCATAGGTGAGGCCCAGGGAGGGGACCAGGACATAGGTGTGGGAGGTGGGGTTCACTTCCTTCACTTCCACACCAAAGAGCAGCTGCAGGATCCCCAAGGTCTGCCCAAAGATCCTGGGGAAGTATCTCTCATCCCTTCTGCTGAGCAGAGCTAGAATTTCTGTCTTATTAGTGCTCTCCCGCTTTTGATACTTGAAGAGCAGGAAATTCAACAAAAGCCACACATTCTTTTCTAGATTTTCTCTGCGCCTGCGCTCAGCATTAGACCTGGCCCTGGGGGCTCTAGCACCCGCCCCTTCCTGATTGCTGGTGCCCTCAGCTGACATGGCCCCTTCGGGGGAGGAGGAGGCATCCTGGGGACTCTGGGGTGTACTCTCTGCCCCCAAAGGAGTCCCCTCCTCCTGGGGTCCCGGGATCAGGGAACACTCAGCAGAGGAGGAAGAGGGGGCAGTAGAGGCCATGGCAGCCGCCCCCTCCTCAGCCCCTGGGCTCTGCACCCCCTCCAGGATCTGGGGCTCGCTCTGCTCCTGGAGCCCGTGCTTCTGCTCACAGTCCTGACTCTTCTGCGACATGATGAGTCTTGGCGACCAGAAGGAGGATGGCTGATGGTTGCCCGTGGTGGTTGACTTCTGGAAAAGAGGGAAGAAGGGGTGTGTAGTCAACAGCCTCAGCTGAGAAATTCAACCTTGATGGCTCTGACAGAGGCCTTCCTCTGGACCTCACAGATGCCCTGTTGTCCTGACAATCTATTTTAAAGATCCCCCAAGTGGGAAGTGCCCACCTCCCTGGGGTGCAGGTCTGATTTTCTAGGGTGACATTGGGGTGTGTGGAGTTGAGGGATATGGAATTACTGCTCTTCCTGGTGGGTGAGAACTTGGTCCATGTTTGGGGTCCTCACCTTGACACCTAGTAGAACAGGACTCTGTCCTCTACTGACTTGGCATCACCCCGTGTGAGCAGTGAGGGGGTCTGGGATCCCCCAGCACTGACATGGGAGATGCTGAAATGGAGGGCACCCTCAGATCTCCTTCAAAACATTCACCTTTCACCTTGCCAGCCACTGGCCCTGACTCCCACCACATAGAAGCCTGGGAGGGCATACCACCTCTGGCCATCCCTGGGGCCTTTCGGGGTTGAGAACAAGGTCCAGCCCAACTTGCCTGCCCCTCCCCCTTTTTTCTATGGGGGTTAGTATTTTCTCTCTTCACCAGAGTCCTCACCTTGACTCCCAGCAGCACCTGAGATATCCCTTGTCTTGATCAGATGTGATTCCCTCTGCCGATCGACTTTCACGCCACCTTCCTGAGGTCCTAGGGAGAAATGTTATGAGATTCTATCTCGGTAGAGCCATGCTGAGGGACTCAAGAGCTGTGGCTGGGGGACTTTCTTTCAGAGGTCTCTGTGTTCTGGGCCCTAGTGTGCCCTCAGCCCTTCCCATTACTCCTAGCAGGGGCCGTAGGTGAGGATCGAGTCCATGGATTCAAGCTGAGTTCTCTAGAGAAGCAAATCAAACAGATGAGGGAGAGACAGACAGACAGACAGACAGGAGGGATGGGGAGAGGAGAGAATGAGAGAGATTTAAAAAAATGGCTCACGTGCTTGTAGAGGCAGGTAAATTTCAGGTCCGTAATTCAGATCGAGAGAGAGAGGTATGTCTAGAGAGACTTGTGTCCAAGTCGTCAGCAGGCACGCAGGGTCTCAGAACCCAGTCTTCAGAGACTCCTAGCTTCAGCTTCAGCAGGCCAATGAATCTAAAGGTTGTCGGGGAGCCAGTCGGCTTGGCTCCAGACTGCAAAGGGGGCAGGTTCTGCCGACCCCAGGTGCAAGTCTGGAGGACACAAGCCAGGGAGTTGTATACTGTGCAGGTCACACCCCCGAGGAACCACCCTTAATCATCTAAAGTTGATGATATCTTTAGAGAGCCGACTCCTGTTCCACAATTCTCATAAACCCTGTGCAATCATGTGCAATTAAGTAGGAACCCTAATAACTGACCCTCCAGTAAATTTCAGAGGCAATAAAGTTGACAGGAGGAGATTGCCCATCCTTTTCCCCAGGAGCAGCTGGTGGATTTGAACCACATGCCTTTGAGATTACATCACAGCTTCTTACCACTAGATCAACAACAGAGCTTCCTCGCTAACATTATAGAGCTTAGTACTTTACAACTCAGAGTAAGTATTCTACTAATGATCATGGCCCTGTTGACAATTCTTATTAAAAATTACTGTCTTTAAAAACGACTGAACTCTCTCAGATCGTAAGTCTGAATTGTGAGATAGCCAAGTCCTCCCAGAACTGACATCAGGAGAGGACTCTCTGGAAGACCCTTTGTTCTGAGCTCCTGTATCCCCTCACACCTCACTTCTACTCTCTGCAGGGCCAGGGTCCCTCCATGGGATGATGGAGGCTCTCAGAAGCCACCCTTTGCCCTTCAGATCCCAGGGCTGATTTGAGGGCTTGTTGGCATCCCCAAGAACTTACAGCAGGGGCTAATACTCTGGAGTCTCACTCTTCTGAGATTCCAGGTCTCCCTATGTCCTTCCCATTGCTTTTGGGAGTGGGAGCCTCCCCTATGATGATGGAGGTACCTTTTGTTCCCTAGATCTCAGCCAAACTGAGAGGTCGTTGGTGTCTCTCAAAGCAAGGGATGATGCTCAGGGGATCTGTCTGTTTTGAAACTCATGGTCCCCTTTATCCTCATCTGGAAACCCAGGAGGCCCAGTCCACAACCTATGAGACTAGACCCTGCACCTTTTCACTGGAGGACAGATAGAAGGGGCAGGGCGATTTGTATGTGCAAAGGAACAATCTGTGAAAGGTTAAAGGAACCATCTATACCTGTAAGACTGTCATTTCACTCCTTACATCCTCTTGTAACCCCCAAAATAAAGATGTAGGGGACAGTACCTCTCCCAGAAACTGTGCTTGGTATCTTCCAGGGCTGAGAGCAGGCACTTGGCCCCCGTGGCATACACTCTGTTCTAGGGAGGGTCCATTCTCTGTTCCCATAGGTCTCCTTCTTGTGAGATAGGAAAGTCTGTGCCTTTAGGGTCTAGAGCAGAATTGGAGATCTTTCAAAAAAAAACATGTCCCCACTAATACTAGCAGTACTGAGATGTTCCCTGAGCACTCACACATCAGAATCATACCCATGAATCTCCTAATGACCATCAGAACTTTCTTTGTCCTATTGGTTGCAGTCAAGTGGCCCCACTGGCCCCATTGGAATGGACTGTATTCCTGTCCCAGCCTGGAACCCCTGTGGCTTGTCCATATTTTTCTGACCCTGGCTTTTTTTGCCTTCTTTGATTGTTGTTATTGCTAGGTGCCCTCACGTTGAGTACAACTCAGTGACCTTATGGACATCAGATTTCAACCATGTCTTATCCTGCACCATCCCCACAATCTCTGATATACTTGCTCCGATTGCTTGTTGCTAGTGTGTCAGTCCATCTCATTGCAGATCTTCCTGTATTTTACTGACCTCTACTATTCCAAGCATGATACCTGTAGCAAAGATATAGCCTTTGCTAACAATATGGTGTAATTATGTGAGACACAGTTTCACCATTCTTGCCCCCTGACTGAGATGGAGCCAATAGCACTTCAGCTGCACCTTTTCCAATATCTGTTTGTCCTTTGGCATTCCATGGGACACTCAGCAATCTCTTCCAAACTACCTCAAAGGTATTATTGGTCTTTTCCTGCCATCCTTATTCATTGCTCAGTTCTAAGATACATAGCAAGTGATTGAAAAGACCATGGAGTAAATTTAGGTCCCATTAGTACTCAAATTGGTATTCTTGCCCTGAGTACAGACTTTCCCAGTGCTTGACTGCTGGTGCCAGTCGTGTTGATTGTGTGTCGAAGCAAGATGAATTTATTGACTCTTTCAATCTTTTCTCCATCTATCATGATGCTTGTTGCCTGTCAGTCCAGTGGTAAGGATCTTTGTTTCCTTTCTATTGAGAAGTAATCCATATTGCAGGCTGCAGTCTTTGATCTTCTTTAACAAGTGCATCAAGTCCTCCCTACATTCTACTAGCCAACAAGGTTGTATTATCTGCATAATGAAGGTTGTTGATGAAATTTCCTGATCCTGACTTTATCTTTATTCATAAAGTCTAGCTTCTAAAATGATTTGTTAAAAAAAAGTAATAAAATTATTTGTTCAGCATATAGATAGAACAGTTATGGAGAGAGGATACAGCCCTGACATATGCATTCCTTGATGTTAAAACCGTGTAGAGATAGAGGCCAGATCAGAAGTCAATCAAAACTATGAGAAACTGCTGCAAACATCCTTTAACAGTTGAAACATGGAATGTATGAAATATAAGTTGGAAAACTAGAAGTTGTGAAAAATTAAATGAAACGCATGGACCTTGACACTCTAGGCATTAGTGAGATGAGATTATCTAGCTTTGGTCACTTTGAATCAGACATGGTATGTTATGCTGGGAATGAAAAACAGAGAAAGAATGATGTAGCATTCATAATTACAAAGACAATTTCAAGTTGTACACTAAAGTACAATGTTGTGAGTGATAGAATATTATCCACATGCATACAAGGAAGGCCTGTCCATATAAATATTATTCAAATATACACACCAACAGCTAAAGCTAAAGAAGAGGCAATAAAAATAAAAAAATTTGTAATCCAAAATTGACCAAGTATGCAATCAAAATGAAGTAAGGATAATTGGTAACTGGAATGCCAAAGCTGGAAACAGTAAAGAAGAAATGGTATTCAGAAAATAAGCACTTGTGACAGAAATGAGGCCAGAAATAGAACGATCATTTTTTTTACATTAAATTATTTTTAATTAAAAATACCTTTT